GGCTTTTTAGGGCAGAGAAAACTCTATTGTTTGGAGGAAAACCAAGCAATCAAAGAGCATGAGCTGAGCTAGTAGCAAATGATGTGCATATCCCTTTGAGAGCAAGCAAGCATCTGTATGTGTTCCCCTTGTTGGCCCTTGCATATTCCAAAGATCATTGCTCCCATCAAACCATCATATTCTACCCCTGACCCTGATGTGATGATGGCATCGCCACATGCAGCTAGCCAGGCTCATGTTTAACTCTTGGAGAGTGCTTGTATATATTCTTTGTTCGAGTGATGGATGCAACAGCGAGGAGAGCAACGGAAAGAGATGTACAGTGGGCGATGCATGTGAGCTCGAACATAACACATCATGCCAAGGAAATGAAAAGAGAAAAGCGCGGGTTTGGTTTTTGGATGGGAACGGGCCGGGAGTAGCATGGCCGGGTAGACGAATGATCGATTGAGAGGGGAACAAGGGACAGTGGCGCACGCGCTGCCGGCGACGGGAGGCGCAGCCCAGCCGTACGAGGGGGTGGTGGGGTACGTTGGCCCGCGCCACGCTCGCATCGATCGCATGGGAACACCGGCCGTTTCCCTCTCCTTTCTGGGCTCCCACTTTCGGTCCAACACGTACAGATGCATGGCGCAACGCCAATAACATGCCCCGTCCGCGCGCACATCAACTTGCCGGCCGGCCTCCCTCTCGTGGCCACACATCGATCTCTCGCGGGGGCATTCGCGGTGAAAACCATCGGCAGCGCGGAGGAAGAGGATAGGGAGTTTAGTGGGCATTTTCAGTGCTGCGCTAGCATCGGCAAGGTGGACGCGTAGGGGAGTGTCGACTGTTGGATTAATCAGTCTTGTGCTCAGCATTTTTATTTTCTGTTAGCTTGCATATGCAGCTGAGTCACGGTGGCGAGGCCAGTCGGTCAGTACATGGCAAACTGCAAGAAGTGTTTCCTGCCGAGAGGATAGGTCCTGAGGAGTTCTTTTTTTTTTCAAGAACAGTCAGACTATTGCCGACGTTTTATATAAAGAATAAGTTTTCTTAATTTTTTATATAAAGAATAAGTTTTCTCATTTTAAGGAGAAAACGATACCAAATCTTACGGTACATAGTTAATTAAGAGAAACTATACGAAAACCACAACTACAGCATCAAACAGAACATGATAAACCTAAACTACAAGGCTATGAAAACTGAAAAGCCATGTTCAACAAATGCTATTCACCACAAGCCTTGCAAAAGAAAGTTGCAAGCTAAAAGATCAAGCAAGGCTCCTCGCATAGGCAGATACGTAACGTTATTGTCATCACATCATCATGGGCGATAGGAAAGGCTTGCTGATCAACAAGCTTGCTACCCACACTGTAGCAAAAACTCAAATGTCCTGAGAAGTGGAACCTTGCATGGCATATACACGTTGTGGCGTAAGACTAGCTTGCCATGGCTGGTAGTTAGGCATGTGACTAGTTTACTTGCATGGTAATTAACTTGAGTGATTGGCTAGGTGTAATTCCTTGCATGTATCTTATCGATCTCTATATAAATGAAAACCTTCTAGAACCAGTGTGTGGCTTGTGTCAACAAATAATATTTGTGTTATTGTGTTCTTTCGTGTGTGCCACCACACACGGAAAAAAAAGGAATTGCTACATATCTGTCGCCACCAGATTTTCTTTTTTTAAAAAAAAATCAGTTGATTAGTTGACCGCATGATTTTTACTTTGAGATTCGTGCATGTGCCATTGAGTGAAAAAAATGTCGCTAGAATAGGGAATCAAACCCATGATGTCGGGATGCCACAACATGCGCAGCAGACAATAGCTTTCTTTCTGTACTTAACTTTTTTAAAACTTGCACTGCATTTACACTATGTATACCTTTATTTTTTTAAAAAAAACATTGTAAGTAACCAAAGTTACATATGTAATTTTAATTTTAATGTATTTACACTATAAGTTTCAAAATCTATCTATTATATCTTTAAAGTAATAGAAAAAGGAGCCTCCACGTTCGCTCTCATGGCCTAGAAATTCTCACATTAATCCTAAAAATAAGAAAAAAGAAAAATAGAACTAGATTAGAATTAGTTAAAAACTGAAGAAAAAAAAGGCATATTAAGAAACTCGAATCGGATAATCGGTAAAAACAAAAACAACCTAATCATACTACCCGAAACGGAATCGGACAATCGGTCTAAAACAAAAAAAAAGGAAAACTTAATCTACTGGAAACGGAATGTACAATTGGTCAAAAACAAAAAAAAAGAAAAGAAAAACCTAATCATACTATACACTGGAAACGGAAAATATTTTAGGAATACGCGTGTTTACATCACTTTTAGAAACATTGAAATACAAAACAATCCTAATCAAACTCTGCCGTTTCCGAATTGTATTAGTATTGTCATGCCAATAAATACATAACCAAGCCAAAAATTAGCAAGCCAAAAATACATAACCACGTTCGTTGTGGAGGCTAGAAATTCCCACATTAATCGGAGAAAAAGAAAAGAAGAGTCTAAATAGAAATACAATCAAAAATAGCTGAAATTCGGAATTAAAAATATGCAATATTGAAAGAGAAGTCCATATAGGAACCCAATACATGATTAATTAAAATTCGGAATAAAAATAAAATAAATTTCGAAATTAGAAAAAGAAAAAAAAAGAGGAGTTCGAGTAGGAATACAATTTAAAAATAACTAAAATTCAAAATTAAAAAGAAATAAGAGTCCATATAAGAATCCAATACAAGATTAATTAAAATTCAGAATGAAAATTTAAAAAAAAATCAAAATTATAAAAAAAGAAAATAATAGTTCAAGGAGGAATACAATTTAAAATTAACTTAAATTCGAAATTAAATATAAGCAGTATTGAAAATAAGAGTACATATAACAACCTAATAGTATATTAATTAAAATTCGAAATAAGAAATAAAATAAAATCCGAAATTAGGCAAATTAAAAAGAGAGTTAAAGTAGGAATACAATTTTCAAACAACTGAAATTGAAAATAAGAAATAAAAATATCAAAAGAACACAATACGAAAAAATAAAATAAATTCTGAAATTAGAAAAAGAAAAATACTAGGAATACCATTTATAAATAAGTAAAATTGGTGGTAAAAAATCAAGACTATTGAAAGAAAATATCATCTAAAACACATGGCGAGATTAATTAAATAACATGCCTATAAAGGAGTAGAGTGGTGGCGGTTGATATGACATATAAAAACTGTTAATAAAACACCAAATAGAATCCTAATAACGATTGAAATGAAGGACGACGGGTAGGCCGTGAAGCAATCGATCAAGGCGGTTGCCGGGACTTCTAGAAAGTAAAAAAAAAAACCAATGCTAATCATATTCATTTTTAAAATCTCAATGAGAATAAAAAGGAGAAGTAGTGGGCGGGGTGTATAGGAGAACCGCCGACGGTTGGCGAGACTTCTAGAAAATAAAAAATGAATTCCAACGATAGTTATGTTCGATTTTTAGAATCCCAATGACAATAAAGAGTAGGCGGCGGATGGGCCATAGAGGAGTATAGTGACATCGTTTAACGGGACTTCTAAAAAATTATAAAAAAAATGAAACCAACAAAGACTATAAAGTCTAAAAACTACGAGGTCCAATTTTTATAGGTTTGGAACTTCTAAAAAGTTAAAAAAAACACAATGATAATCATGTTCGATTTTAAAATCTTAATAACGATAAAGAAGGGAGGTAGCGGGCGTGCCATAAAGGAAAACAATGGCAAAGCCGCTGACGGTTTAGCGGGACTTTAGAAATTAAAAAATAAACCCGAACAATAATTATGTTCGATTTTTAAAATCCCAATGATAATATAGAGAAAAAAAAGTTGACGGCCCGTAGAGGAGTATAATGACAACATTTGATGGGACTTCTAGAAATTATAAAAACTATAAGATCTGATTTTTAAAGGTTTCAAGGAAATGAATAGAAATAGTGGTAGATCAAGCAAGCAAATAAAGAAGGATATGACAGAAGTAAGGGGTAGTAGCTGGTGTGACTTTTAAAAACTATATAATTAGAAATACGGGATGGTAAGATTTGGTCTTTCAAAGTCTTAAGACAACGAGATAGCTATTTAAGAAATTTTAAGTAAAATTATACTGAAAAATATATGATTTTGTTTGGGTGCTAGCCGCGCAATTGCGCGGGCCACCCAACTAGTTATATATGTAAGTACCAAAATTACATATGTAAGTTAATTAATGTATGTAGATGTAAATTGCTTGGTTTTCTTTTTCTTCTAGCATCATTGACGTGATTAACGTCCGGTGACTAACGTGCGTTGATATGTTTTCATTTGAACCGCACTTGGTGGTGGCTTGAAAATCCGACTGATTTTCTACGAAAAATCTGTCGAATGATTTTTAGACAGCAAAAAAAAAAACTAGAGTGTTTGTGATAAACACCAAGGAGCAGGAGAGATTCCTAACATCGACGGCGCGTGTGTGGGTGCATCAGGAAGGATGGGAGGAAGATAGATAGTGATTAGGTTTATAATACTTGGAGCAATAGCCGTTCAAAAATGACTAAGATTTAGTCAAAGTTGGGGGAAGAGTTATACCTTATTTTACAGTTGAGAGATGCAATTCTACTGAGGAAAAGAGGTGAGGGAAGAAAAATAAACTTATTCCGGTCCAAGCACAGCAGCTTCTCAACTTCTCCACGTTTTCTTGATGTATGCGGAAGCCCATCCCACTGATCTGGCCCAACTGGATTGCAGCCAAAATATTGGTTCCCTTTCATTTCTCCTTGAATAAGTCCACTTGACATCCCTCAACTTTATGTCGAGTTTGTATGACGCCCCTAATCCCCAATACCAGAAATATCGACCCCTCAAGTGTTTAAAACCGTGCAAAATAAATCTCTTGACAGTATAGATCATATTTTCCCGGTTTTTGCTGGCGTGGCATATGTCGGGGCTCATTTGTTAGTGACCCTTATCTCTTCACCTATCTCTCTCCCTTCCCCTATGTTCCCATCTCACCAGGGCAGCGGCCGGTGGTGGACTAAGGAGCAACAGCCGGCGGTAGACGGTGAGGAGCGGCAGGTTGGCAGCCGATGGGGAGGACGACACGAACGACGAGCGGCGACGGCATCTTGGTGATGCGCTGCACGATCCCGTAGTACATGTGGTAGGTGTTGTTGGGGTTCACCACCATCCCAGGGAGGAACAGCAGTAGCTCCGGTGTCCTCGGCCTCTCCAACGTCACGATTCTGCCGCTGGTAAGCCCATTCTTCTAGGCTGGTTTGGGGAGAGGGGGGGTGTTCTTGGCAATGAAATCGTTGAGGCTGACCTCGCCGGCAGGGAATATGTTGGTGAGCCCCATCATCTCCTTCTCGAATGTGTCCAGATCCACACCCTCCACAGTCGGCGCCTCTGTGGGCTTATCCCAAGAAATGGTGGTCGTAGTGGATGGTGGCGCGGCAGGAGAATCGAAGGTGAGCTCCTTGCGGATGCCGACCTCGTCGTTGCAAAGTTCGCAACCAACGACGACGTCGGGAATGCGGAAGGACACCGAGGAGGTTGGCGAGGGAGGGGTAGGTAAACGATGTGGTGAGGAGGACGTGCCATCCTCCTCACCGTCCGCCGCCGGTCTCTAGGGCCTGCTCTGCCTCGAGGGCTATCCAGTGATTGCAAGTTCGGTTCTATATTTCGGACCGCACCGGCAAATCAATATATCGACCGAAATTTTCGGATTTTATCAAATGTTTGTTGAATTTGGTCAAAGTTTATTTAAATCCAGTCAAAATATGTAGAAAGTTCAATCCGAAAAGTGCCGAAAATCACGAAATTTTGTAAATTTTGGTCCTACCGAAATTGAAAATGCAAACCCTGGGGCTATCCGCCGCTACGTGTCGGGGCCACCGAGTCAACGCTCCGTTCGAGGCCGCGCCGTCACTCTGCCACGAGGCTAGACCGCCGCACATGTTGGGGTCACGCCCAGAAATTTAGCCCAAATTTTCAGACTATTTTGTGTATTAAATCTCTGTCCAGGACCAGCCAGGGTACACAAAACGACAAGTAATATACAGTTCCAAACGTAAATAAAGCGTAAAATACTTACAGAAAAGGCACTTAGTCCTCACACCGAAACAAAAGCAGCAGCAGCGAAAAAGGCAATCCTAGCGGGGCTTCAGCTCCACTCCACAGGCAAAACTCAACTGGGGTCTGAGCCTTGGTCCTCTAACTCCATCTTCAGCTCAGAAGCACTACACTTCTGAAAAGGGGGAATAATAGCAAGACTGAGTACAACCACCGTACTCAGCAAGCCACACCAACGATGCAGACGTGCAAGGGGATACAAGGAGGGTTTGTGGCTATTTGCATGAAGGCAGTTGTAAAACACTTTATTGAGCAAAACAGTAAAACTGTTGAGTAATTAAAGTAATATTGAATCTCCACTGATCAACGCTACCCCACGTTGAACAGGCCCAACCAACCCACCTGAACTACAGTGTATTGGGTCGATTTATTAAGATGGGACTAATCACGGTGAATCTGGTCGACCGCCCATAACCGCGGGCACGGCTATTCGAATAGTTTTACTCTGATCAGAGGTGTACAACTGTACCCACAAGACACAGCCCCACGACACGTTTCCGTGCGCCGACATGCCACCACGACATACCGGAAAGAGGCCGTGACAGGACCCTTCGCATAACCCCCTCTAACCAAGCACACCACACCTCAGGTTTCACCCCCACTCCTCGCAAGGCAGCGGGCAGTCCCCTCTCGTGCCTAGGTGAATCCGGAAGCCGCATAGGCCGTCGCAGGGCCCATCCAAACTCCATCACGCCCACCCTTGCCTGGATGCGTTGGCTAGAGGAAAGCTACACTACAAGCCCAGCCGTTGCCCACGCTGGCTTGTGGTAAGTACGATAAGTTCTTCCAGGGCATCCCGCAAACCGGTCCTTAACTGCCATGGGTGCGACCAGCAAAACCATGCACCCACAGCCCACCATTCAGTCGCATTTTAGTTGGATAATTACGACCATGAAGCATGGCCAGATGTCTCGAGCACGCGGCTCAATCTGATACTAAAAGGGTCTAATACTGTAATTATCCCATCAACTGAGCTAGTGGTAATTAAGCATGGCTAAGCATATAGTTCTAGCTAAGTCACATAAGTAACATGAGCTAGTCGATTCATTACCCAAAGTTGACAAAGAACAGATATCAAGTAAACATGGCACAAGCGAGCAGATAGGTAATACCCTGACCCCATGTAATTAGCAAAATATGCATATTTATTTGCAAACAGTAAAACATTTGTAAATTGGGATCAACATGCTCAAGGGGAATGTGTGACTTGCCTTGCTTCTTCACTTTGATCTTCCGAACTCTTTTCCTCGCGACCGCGGTCTTCCGAAACGACGGAAACTACACGCTGGCACGCAAAACGAGGAAAAACTCTAATAAAAACCAAGGAAACAGTACATAAAAACTAAACAAACATGTAGAGCTCAATTTTAGATGAATTTTGCAAGTTGAATGGCTCAATTCGGAGTTCGAATGAATTAGATATGAATTTTAGAAGTTTTGAGCCATTTAAATGAATTTCTAGAATTATCATCGAATTATGACGCAATTATTATTTATTTTTACAAAGGAAATGGTCCTCGCTGACGTCAGCAAGGGGCGGCCGGCGCCGACACGCGGGCCCCACACATCAGCGAGTCAAAGGGGGAGGGCGCACGGTGGACATGGTCCAGACGTGCCTCGGGTGCGCGTCCACCACGTGGACGGCCCAGATCGGCCAAGGCCGATCGGACGGCTGGGGACAGCCGGGCGGCGCGGCCTGGCCAGCGCTCACACAAAGCTGGCGGCGGCGGCGGCCGGGACCGAAGCGACGGCGGTACACGGGCCGGGCGGCCACCGGCGGCGGCGGCACGGCGTGCGCAAGCACGGGAGGCGGCCGGCCAAGGGGAATAAGAGGGAGGGGAGAGGAGTGCTCACCGAGGGCGGCGACGGCGAGACGACCACGGAGAGGCGACCGGCGGCGGAAAGGATGGCGGCGGTCGGCACGGGAGGCGACAAGAACGGCGTTCCGATGACGCCCGACCACGGCGGAGCCACGGCCGAGGGGCGGTGGGATGCAGCGAATGCGGTGGAGGCGGTGGCGCGGCGTGAAGTAGATGGGGATGGCGGCAAGAGGCGGCCGGTTGGCGGCAGTTAGTGGTGGGGCTCGGGTTTGCGGCGGGAATGGTGCTTCGGGGGTGGATTTGAGGAGTGGGCCGGTGGCCGGGATGCGGCACGGAGCGGCGGCGCTGTGGGAGGCAGCCGCACGACCGGGCGAGGTCGGTATCGCCGGCGGGGAGCGGCTGGAGACGGAGGGAAGAGCGGCGGCTCGGTTTTCACGGTGGGGTGGTATTTCGGTGGTGGTTTGGGGGAAAAAGGAGTGGAGGACGGGGTAGAGCTTGGCAGGGCGTTGCCGACGGCGCAAGCGGCGAGGTGCGGCGACGACTAACGCGGCGGCAGCGGCCGGCTGAAGGCGGTGTGTGGCGGTAGTGGCTCGGCCTCGCGATGGGAAGGTGGTTCCGGCGGTGGAGGAGGGAGATGGAGTGGATGCCGGGGTGCGGCACGACGCGGCGGAGCTGTCGGTGCAAGCGGCGCGGCGCGGCGGCGGCTACAGCGACGGCGGCGTGCAGCCGGAGCTTGCCGGAAAGCGGCGGAGCGCGGGAGCAACGTGGGGAGAGCGGTAGGGAGTGCAGCGGGTTCGGGAAAATTGGGGAAATGGGAAAGGAGACCACGGGGATCGTTTTTATTGGCTCGGGGCGGTGGGATCATGGCCGCGGAGGGCGGAATCGACCGGCAACGGTCTTCGGAGTGGGCTCCGGCGACGTGGGCGAAGTGGGGTGGTTCGGCGCCGGTTTTGGAGGGGGAAAGTGGGGGAGGAGAGTGGAGGAGGTGGGGCGACGCGGTCCCGCGGTCGGGGCGAGCGCGCGGGTGGAGGAGGAGGCGGAATCGGCGGCGACGTGGGGAGGCCGTGGCGGCGGTTTCGGCTGAGGGAGCCGGAGGTTAGGGATGGCCCTGACAGGTGGGACCCACCTGTCGGTGGCTCGGGGGGAAGGAGAGAGGAGGAGACGGTTGGGGGAGGCCAAGTAGACTTGCGCGAAGGAGGGGGCAAGCCGGGCCGATGGCCCAAAGAGAAGGGAGGAGGGGAAAAGGAGGGCGGCCGGGCCCAAGAGGATGGAGGGGGAGAAGATCTTGGGCCGAAAGCGGCCCAAAGACAAAGAGGGGAAATTTTATTTGTTTTCTTTTTATTCTAATTGATGCAATGATCTTTGTGCTATTAAAACTATTTCTCGAGCTCCGAAAATTCACGGAAAATTCCGGAGAGTACATTAGGGCACAAAGAATATTACAAAATATTCCCGGCCAATGATTTTTAAAGGAAAATTTCAAATTCTCCCATTATTTCACTTGATTAAATTGATTTATCTTTTATTTAATTTCTAGAAAATGCATTATTTAATGATTTTTAAACCCGAACGAAAATCGGGGCGTTACAGTCACCCAGCCGGCGCGCCGTCGCTCCGCCTTGAGGCGGGCTGCCACCGCTCCGTCCCTAGGGATGGCAACAGGGCGGGGCGGGGACGGGTTGGATAAGAACTCCCCCGCCGCCACTCCCTGCATTTGCCCCCTGCCCTCGGCCCCGCAGGGACATCCGGGTGAAAATCGTTCGCCGGCCCTAGCCTCGTAGGGGACCCGGCGGGTGAGCGGGCCCCCGTATCACCCGGGGTGCACAAGGCTGCCAATGTTGAACGGCAACTCAGAAAGAATGAAAAGATGGCATGAGGTGTTACTAGTCCAGTCAGTAATCAGTAATCAATGGATCACAAATTCACAATTAGTAGTAATATGCATTCTAGGTAGGGGACGGCTAATGGACGCCTAGCGATCACCGGCCCACCCCTCCCCCTATATGCTACCTTCTCTCTCCCTTTCTCCTCCCCTTCTTCTCTTCTTACTACAGTACACCATATAATTTTAAAAAATAATAAAACAAAGTTGGAAAAATTTATGTATAGAAATACAAATACTATACATAAAAAAATTGAATTCAAATTCAAATTTAAAATGGGTATGTAAACTTTTGATTTATAAACTTTAGATCTATAAACTAATATTTGAATTCAAATTCAAATTTGAACGGGTGTAAACTTTTGACTTATAAACTTTGGGTCTATAAACTAATATTTGAATTCAAATTCAAATTTGA